TGTAAGTCCAATGTGCAACTCAATTTTAAACAGAACATCCAATATCAATGCCGATCTGTGAGATTATTAATGAATACGTGAATCAAACAATCAACAAGGTACGGTTTGGATGGCAGTTGGGAAGCAGCATGCGGATCTGACATACCAACAATGTGTGCGCACACAGCAGGACAGTGGACTGGTTTACGCCTTCAATTACATGGCTAGGCTTATGTTCTTCGGCAATTTCTGGCCAGCAGGCCCTAGTCTCAGAGCCAAATATATGTTTTACTCGTCATCAAATCCCGTCAATGTCAGATGGGCCCTGTTGGATATGCTGAGCTCAACAGTTAAACTATTTCAAACTGGTGGCCCAAGCAGAAGTGTGTACCTGGAGATCCACAATGTTAGCCTCTATTCGTGGGTCTCCAATAATGTATTCTGAGCCAAACACTTGTTGTTCACGAAGATATAAAGTTAAAAAGTGCCAACTCATGTTAGCTTGTGAATGTCCTAGCACGTACAATGCTTGAAAAAGATATTGACAACATTGGCAGATGAGCTTTTTTACAGAAATACCTATTAAGCAGATGGAAATTAAATTAGTGTTAGGCTCTTTTTTACATGTTTAAAGACATTCAAAATTAACTTTAAATTACAATGTAAATAGTGAGAGGCTTAAGTGGTGTTGAATACATCCGAGGCTTAAAATATGAGACGCCAATTTATGTTGTTATTTATAAATGAAGACATCGGTTAAATAAAAGAGAGATCATGTCATTCATTCCATATGAACTACAGCATTGTTTAACTTTTTCCATAAAAAGTGCGTTTAGGTAATTATATAACATTTACACGTCATAGGCAAAGTAACTTGGCAGCCTATTAAATCACACTCCATGTAACATTACAGTGCTGCACTACAAGCAGCCAAGTGTAACAACACACAACTCATAGCTAAATACCAATTTTGAATTTTAAATGTATTTGCAAACGTGACAGTTTTTCGTATGTAACTTACATTTATTTACGAATAATTGGATCGTACATATTGACAAGTTAATAATATAATTTTACACTCACAAAAATTCCTGTACTTGTGATTTTTTATGAGTGTATTTGGTTACTTTATTAAATAATAACTATAATTACTTCATGAACTGGTAAACCCTACCTTAGGATATATTATTTTAGCAGGGTTAAAGATCATAAAACAAAAGACAGTCCCCCTTTTAGATACAACCAATTATGTAAAACTGATTATATTTTTTCCATATAAAGTCCATCCATATTTAACATGTTCATTCGATTACTTTAACTTTAGGTTTATATAAAAAAGGTATTTGCAATACATCATGGGTATGTTAGTTGGCTTAGTGGGGCAAACTATACATCAAGTCAGTGTAATTATAGGCAAGGAATAAATACATTTTTAACATAGTTTGTAAAGTTAATAGATGCATTTATTATATTATCAGTGCAGTTAGCTGTGAAGAACGCTGTCCAGAAAGCAATTATCCCCCAATAAAGGTGCAGCCATGCTTAATAATTTTCACTTCTCAGTATTCATACACAGCACAATAGTGGAAATTGGATGGTTGGGGTACTCGAGAAAATGAGGGTTCTGCAAATTGTCTGGCGCCTCGTTTGTCCTGTGAAATACTTGGGTGTTTCTGATAGTATTGTAGTTAAGGAAGCCATTTGCAAACTTTTGCAATAATGCTCCCAAAGCACATTTCTCAAGGGGCCTATGTTGGTTCTAAAACTACACACCATGGAAAAAGTCAATAGCCGTTTTAACTGCTACAGTGCAAGCCAAATCAGTACCTCAGCTTGGCAAACATGTTACTTGGTTTTATATACCTGTCACTTAAACCTAAAACAAGCCTGGACATGGCCAAAAGGAGCGTTGACTCGGGTGGTTATTTCTTTACAAATGAGTTGTTGTTCCACGCGAGCCGCTGTGACAAACAAGGGTCTGGCAAGAACCTTCATCGAGTCGTTTGGAATTCTAGCTAAAGTGGAACAATTCACTAATAACATACTCAATTGTTATGATTTGAAAAGGTATTAAGCTACACGTGTAGAGATAGGTTGTTATTGAACTATATTTAATCTATTCCTGCAAATGACAGCATTTCACACGAGCGGCTAATTACGTTACAAATGAGCACCCGGCCTCAACTCTTTGACTCCTGCCCTACGACCTTTTCTCTGGTTTAACATATACCCAACTATCCCGCCACCCACCAGAATCCAACCACCATGCCAACGCACATAGCTCTGTTGTGTGCATTACTGCAGGCGACTTGATATAGACTACTTTTTGAGCGTGGAAGGTGATGAAGAGGTTAACTGTATTCATAGCTCGCAACATCCTATACTGTATCGAAACATGGCCTATGACCTTCTTTGGTTCTTTCGGTAAAGTCAAGTAGAATGAAAATAAATAAATAAAACATCTAAATTCTCGCGACGTTTCGGCCACAACACAAGTGGCCTTCAGGTGAGAATTTAATTGTTTTATTTTATTATTTCATTCTCATTCTACGTGACTTTACCGAAAGAACCAAAGAAGATGAATCCTTGCAGTCACGAAAGCTTTAAATCGAAATTTATGGCCTATGACATTTTGAACAAACGTAGCTAACCCGATGCAGGCGTTTCTTTCCTGGGTGTTTACACTAATGAATCTGAGAATAGGTTTTCCCCTTTTTTCTGGCAACAAACAGGTGTTGAGATGTTAAAACACCAAACTGAAACCTTTCACGAGGAATCATGTCTGTATTAACCACAATACTTGTGGTCAGAATGCAAACAAAAACACTCTGACAATATATGCATTGTCTTTGAAAATGATTGGTCCACACCAGAGACCGTTTTCTTGAGCCTAGTCTCAAAACGGGTGTTAGACCAGAGGACGCCAAAAGGCGTACGAATGAATCTGTTTAACAAGCCTTGTGCCTGCCTGCCATAAACGCGCTTAGTTGTTGGAAGGTGCTCTTATCCTTATTCCGAACGTTTAACATCCCAATGAAGGCACATTTGGGGGAGGGTTTCACATCACATTGGTGCAGGCAAGGGTTGACATTTTTGGGCCAAGGTGTTCAGTACTCCCAGTGGGGTCTAAGGTCCTTAACACCCCAGCCATCATAGCCATTCGTTTACGCCAAAAAAATCAAAAAGGCATTATTGGACATAAATAAATCGAAACCTCTGACGTGCGACTTTTCAAAATCATTAAGTGGCGTGCACTTCCCAGAAGCCACTGGTTCACAATCAGTGCTTGCCATTGATAATTATTGTCACTGCTCAGCTTGCCAGAATCCTGATGGATAAAATTGTTTACCTTATCAAGTACCCTCGACGTATATTCCCTCCGGCTAGGCCCCGCCTTATTCCCCTCCCCCAGATCCTCCAAACTATTAATACAAATCCAGAGCCGCGGTGTCCAAATGTAAATGGTATACACACATAACGCAGTACGCGTCAGACGTAGCATTTGCCACTTTTATATTTGTGTTTTAATCAGAGGTGCATTTTAACAGATATCACACAACGCCAATGCTACCCATAAAGACAGCATGGTGACTGTTGATTTCGTATTTTTTTGCTGTCAGTGTACACGATGCGGATTTCGGCATGGTGTGCATGCACACGTGTTTGTGGTGTCTTTATACAAGTGTCAATGCGTACCTGGACGTGTAGGCGTGTTTGTACTTGTATTATACAAGTACATGTCACAATAATTTCTATGGCTAAACAAATAAGGCAATGTACCTTCAATTTGATGATCTCTCTATTAAGGATCAATGCCCGAAAACGTCGCCTATTACTGTACTGTATACAGTCTAGCCTGTATTTTAAGGCAGCATTAAGGGATGTGTATAGGTTTCGGATTTGTACCTGTAAACCATTGACAACGCCGTATCACACAATTATTTGTCTAAAACTAAATGGTGGATATGAATGTACTATTTATAAATACCACCACCATCATTTACACCGCCTTTATACTAATGTAAGCGTTGACTAACGTTTCGCGCAACTGGTCTCCAGACCCACGTAAAACAAAACAAGATACAGCTTTGGCGGTGCTATACAAAAGCTTACCACATTTTTTCCTTATACAGTGCAAGTACTTCGATAAAGACCATTCAAGGGATGGTGTTTTGGGGCGTACAATTTATAATTGCGCTTATAGTACGCTCACAAAACAACACGCGTACAAAACACAAAGGCCGCCCCCAATTTCCTTCATGTACGTATATAGCCATTTACCCAAGGCAGAACACGTACGAATGCGCGCAAAGATAATTTACGACGCTGAAATAAAACATTTTAAAAAATAACATGCGTTTGGTGGGGGGGGGTGGGGGTGTAAAAAAATAAGCGAGAGAGAAACGCGCAGGTTAAATAACACAGTCCTGTATACATGTTATTATTGACTGCTCGTGTGGGCTTGCCCAAGAGGACACGTCAAGGCGAGAGAGGGGATAATGGCCGTTGGTCGAGACTAACGACGGAGTGACAGCCCAAGATGAAGGCGCGCACACACGCCCCAACTTTCTCCTTAAGGACATCCAACCGGAGCGACGAGAGGAACAACAACGCCGCCGTCGCCTTGTGCGACAGGCGTTTAAAAAGGTTTGTGGGGACGAGAGAGAGAGACGGCGTTGAGGCTCAGGAAAGGATCCCTCGGGAGTCGGCAGCGAATTGATCACGGCCGATGGTGACGTAATACAGCGTTGACATTCGTTTTTGTTGTGTGTGTGTGCTGTCCCATTCTGAGGGAATGTAGCGGTGGGCACTAGTGGCTGCGGGGTACATGTGACCTCAACCACATCGAACGTATACATTGAAAAACTGTCGATGCGACTCGTCTATTGTCGTGTTAGTGTAAGTGGGGGGGGGGGGCTAAGTGAGGGGAGGGTAAAATGGGGGACAGGGGAGTGGGAAGGTAAGGAGGGGGGGGGGGGGTCAAGAGGCCTAGTCGCATCTCGCTCATCCTACGCCCTCACCTGACCACGAGCCCCGAGATGGCGAGCGCTGCGGCCGCCTGGCAAAGCCGCGCAAGAGCCGAGGCTTCGGCGATACGCGCCGCCTCACGCTCGGACACGCAGCCGCACGCCCAGCCGAGCCGCGCGAGTTTGTCGCCGACGAACTTGAGTGCGCTCAACATGCGACGGGCGCGTCGTGGTTTGGTCGGCGCGGGGAGAGAGGGGGTTGGGAGGGGGGGGGGTTTAGCGTTTGCCGCGATCGCCGCGAAAGCTCAGGGGCTCATGGCCATTAATGTCGGGCGAGGACGCGAGCCGCCTCCTCCTCCTCTCCGCCTCGACGAGCCGCGTGACGTCAAGCGCCGCGATGTCACCGCGAGTGCCCGGATGCCGCGAGGGAGGGGGGGGGTGTACGGGTGATGTCATCGACAGCCAATGAGAGCGCGGATCGTTGGGCGCCCCGCCCCTATTCCCCAGGGCCTCGGTTCAGCCCCGCCCTCTGTAGGGCGCGTCATCAGCCCCAACCCCCCCCCCCCTCCACTGTGTTATTATTATGGTAGCCTTGCAAGGGAGATGCCTCCTTTGCTTGCTTGCTTGCGTTCTTTATCATGTGGATTTTTCTGTTGGTGAATAAACACAATTTTACACGGGGCCTTAGTTTTTGTTCACGGTTTTTTTTTGCCTTCTGCCGTATGTAATCTGTTACAGAAGCGCGCCACTCATTCTTTTTCGTAGCCTGTGCCTGATTCAACGCCTTTCCCTAACCCTTCAAGGTATCTTCCCCATTTCAAAACACGTTTTTTATTTAACGTGCATTTGTTTTGGTTTTTTACACGAGGTCATTATTCACACGAATTCTCTTCGCTGGTATTTGTCCTTGTTTGTGCCTTTTTTTTACATTTTTCTCCCCTTTGTAAAAATAATCACCTGACTAAAAGCTGTGATTTGTTGGAAATCAAACAGACCCAGCTTCCAGAGAATCGAAATGTTTGCATCATCCATTAGTTTTGGTGGCTTTCACGAATACGATTGTCTCCTTGTTAGAATATGCCACAATGTCAGGGTGATACTGGCCACTGTGAAATGTTTTGAATATAGGTCCATTCACAATTGAAATAAATACAGTACTGTACCATTTACAATTGAAATAAATACAGTACTGTACCATTTACAATTGAAATAAATACAGTACTGTACCATTCACAATTGAAATAAATACAGTACTGTACCATTCACAATTGAAATAAATACAGTACTGTACCATTCACAATTGAAATCAATACAGTACTGTACCATTCATAATTGAAATAAATACAGTACTGTACCATTCACAATTGAAATAAATACAGTACTGTACCATTAACAATTGAAATACAGTACTTTACCATTCACAATTGAAATAAATACAATACTGTACCATTCACAATTGAAATAAATACAATACTGTACCATTCACAATTGAAATGAATACAGTACTGTACCATTCACAATTGAAATAAATACAGTACTGTACTATTCACTGCAGTGAAATAAATACAGTACTGCACCATTCATAATTGAAATAAATACAGTACTGTACCATCCACAATTGAAATACAGTACTGTACCATTCACTGCAGTGAAATACAGTACTGTACCATCCACAATTGAAATACAGTACTGTGCCATTCACAATTGAAATAAATACAGTACTGTACCATCCACAATTGAAATAAACAGTACTGTACAATTCACAATTGAAATACACTACTGTACCATCCACAATTGAAGTACAGTACTGTACCATTCACAGCAGTGAAATCAATACAGTACTGTACCATTCACAATTGAAATCCCTGTAGGAGCTCATTGGTGTTAAAGCTAATGGGGCTGAGGACTCTAATTGCCCTCCCACCCACCATATCGTGTGCGGGGCATTCAAGGACTATCGTGACCTCCTGTGACCCGTGCGTTTGTGGGCACCCATCATCGTCAGTAGCAGCAGCAGCCATTGCCTATCCACTGCTGGATCAATGCCTCCCCAAACCGTCGTCATCTCTCATGGTCGACAGAAGAGACGATGGCCGGTGATTGAGACTGGGCCTCGGCAAGGTAAGGTCATTTACCCTTTTTACCGGGCAAAAGGGTAAAGGGTAAATGTGTCGACATGCCAAGGGGTAAGGTAAAGGGTAGGGTAAAGGTAGCGCGAAGTATTACCCGGTAAACACCTTGTTTACCGCTCGCTAAAAGCTCCGTGGCGCAGTCCGTGGCCTCCATTTAAAATTGGAATCATCGAGAGTATTCTATAGATGAATAAAGCGCTCTTCCTAGCATTTACCTGTTACAAACCTTTTTTAGTAATTACCCTGTAATCAGGTAATTTGTATAGGGTAAGGGTAAAAGGTAGGGTAAAGGTAGGCTCGTTGCTTTTGACCTTTTACCTTACCTTGCTAAAGGTAAAAGGTAAGGGTAGAGTGATTGCATTGTGGTAAGGTAAAAGGTAGGGTAAAGGTAAGCTCGTTGTTTTTTTACCTTACCTTGCCGAGACCTAATTGAGACTCGCTCCACTGTGACAGCCAGAAGAGACAAAGGCACCGTGAGAGGACGTCCACCAGAGATTGAATTATGAAAATCACTCATTCGAGGCGGCTAGACGGATGTTGTGGGCATCACGTTGATCCTAATGTCCCAAAACAATTCTGCACTAAAATGACTAACCTGTGGAGGAGATACATCATGGGACCTCCTTTGCCAGTACACCTTTTGGCGTCCTCTGGTCTAACACCGTTTTGAGACTAGGCTCAAAAGAAAGCGGTCTCTGGTGTGGACCAATCATTTTCAAAGACAATGCATATATTGTCAGAGTGTTTTTGTTTGCATTCTGACCACAAGTATTGTGGTTAATGCAGACATGATTCCTTGTAAAAGGTTTTAGTTTGGTGTTTTAACATCTTAACACCTGTTTTGTTGTCAGAAAAAAAGTGGAAAACCTATTGTCATACTGTGGAGGAGACATCAGACACTGACCAGATGTGGATGTATGACTTTCATATCACAATTTTTCATTGGGTGCAATTGTGAACAGCCATATCAAACATCATTACATCGAATCGACATAATCATTGGTTCACTGCAGCTCAAAGACTCAGTTCTACAAGGCGTGTGGTGAAGTTTGGAGATGTCCATGTGCTCGACATTTGAAGGCCATCAGTGATTTCGCCGACAATGTGTTCAGGAAGGTAGCTCCATATCCGGACAGTAGAGTGAAGGGAGCTTCTGTCCAAAATTCTGGCAACTGGGGCGGGAGGGGGGCAAGGACGTGGCTTGGCAGGGTTGTGCATAATCAGGTGGCACGGAGTTTTTTCATATGGAGGTGAAAGCATGGCCTGGAGGTCTGTGGGGCAGTGGTTGGTGTTCATTTTGTACAGGACTGTGACAGCAGAAAGTTGTCGATGGTGATGCAGGCTGGGGATGGTGAGGTGTGTGCTGGCGGTGGCTTCAACAACACCAATTATTTTCAGCGCCATCCTCTGGACGTTGTCGAGAAGGTTGAGGTAGGTCGGTGGGGCGTTCATCCAGCACAAAGAGGCGTACTCCATAACACTGGGGACTTGACCGTTGTAGACTGTGGCTCGGCCTTCTGTATCAAGTTTGTTAGCCACCTTCTCAGTGAGAACTCTGGTGAGGATTAGATTTGGGCCAGTGGCTTTGTCAGACTTGCGTCGCCGTAGGAGTCTGTTGATGTCTTGAAGGTGATGTTCTCAATTGAGCATGTAGTGTTTAGCTCGATGTACGAGGCATCTTGGAGGCGGAATTTTTTTGCAAAAGTCTCACAAAAAACTTCTGCTTTATCCTGTGCTGTGGTACGGGCAATATCGTTATGCACAATGACAGGGATGTCAGCGTTTGCAGCTGTTCCACAGAGGGAGTTAACGAGCCTCCACCATTTATTACTGGTTAAGGTCTTATCAGTAATTTCCTTCTTGAGTTTGATGTTGTACACCACCTGTAAAAGATTGGAATATTTTAGGACAAATTGCCCATTTCATGTGGTGCAATTGCTTTGTGCAGCAAGTACTCATGCATAATGCTGCGATTTAATAATGCACCAGCACATGTTTTTGAGAATCTTGTCTTTTGGGGAATGTTTTAAATTTGCTTTGTATGGACGATTGGCAACCATTTGGTACGATTAATGGAGATTATTTAAAATGTTTATAGGTTCCAGGTTCTCAACCTATGTTAATGTGGAATTCGGGCGATTGTTACGTCTAAATGGGACAATGCAAAACGTTTCACACGCAAATTGATTACTCTATAAATATTAAGTAAACAAGTGGTGTTTAAGCATATTTTATGAGCGAATAGCTGCATTTGTATTATGGTTAAATGTACTGAAAATTAAAATGTACTTATATTTCAAGTGTAAATTAATCCCAACCCACTCGTCGTTCTAATAATTTTTTTAAAATAATTTAGTTGAATTTCTTTACACTGGTGAATGCTGTAGCTGACACCTGCATGGTTTATAAACAACATATACATGTGCAAAAACATAGATTTTAACACGCTAGTCGATACTTGTATCCTGAGTTTACGATTTGATTTTAGTCAGTGAACCCAAGCATCATTATACTTCTAACTCTCATATATTTTATTCATTAAAACATATGATCAGTATAAGCCATAACCCAACATTTCCCAAAGCCGGGTCCATATTTTCAAGTATTATTTTAAATGTAAAGTTTAAAACGCTATTGTAATAAAGTGATAAGTAAACATATATGAATGAGATTACAGCTTCACCCCCTTGTTTAAGTTGAGTTTAGACTAATCCTTGACGTCACTTGCTGACACTGGGATAATCTCACACTTGACAGCTGCTCTCTCGTCTTCAGTGAATTCAACTTTTACTTATAACCTGATGGTGTGACATGGAAACAACACATCTCCACATTAATTGCAAAGGAGACTGGACCAGATAACTCTGGGTATTCTTCTCTTCGATGAGCTATCATATATTTTGTGATCTACGATATTTATTTCATAAGTGTTTAATAACGTATGGCCCTTTGTCAATGCAATGGTCGAGAAAGGCCTCCCCTTACCATGTGGGGGTTGTTTGAACCATACTTCATCACATTGTCCAATGCCAGTTGGTGAAGGCAGGGAGGCTCAGGATAAAGAACGCAAGCAGGTATCACTCGCAACTAATGATCGTTGTGGTCAGGAATCAAACGAACTTTCGCCAGGTTCAGAGCGTAATATGTGAGCTACTGTGCCACTGCTCAACCACAACCTTTGGATTCTAAATCGCTATATTTCGAGCCTTGATCATTACGGTAACTGTTACCTGAGTAGAGCACCTGTAGGTCCCCT